CAGGCAGTAGAAGTTCCCCAAGCATTAGCAGTTTCCCCAGCATTAGCAGCTCCTCAGGCAGTAGAAGTTCCCCAAGCATTAGCAGTTCCCCAAGCATTAGCAGTTCCCCAAGCATTAGCAGCTCCTCAGGCAGTAGAAGTTCCCCCAGCATTAGCAGTTCCCCAAGCATTAGCAGCTCCTCAGGCAGTAGAAGTTCCCCAAGCATTAGCAGTTCCCCAAGCATTAGCAGCTCCTCAGGCATTAGCAGTTCCCCAAGCATTAGCAGCTCCTCAGGCAGTATAAGTTCCCCAAGCATTAGCAGTTCCCTAAGCATTAGCAGCTCCTCAGGCAGTAGAAGTTCCCCAAGCATTAGCAGTTCCCCAAGCATTAGCAGTTCCTTAAACATTAGCAGTTCCTTAAACATTAGCAGTTCCCCAAGCATTAGCAGTTCCCCAAGCATTAGCAGCTCCTCAGGCAGTAGAAGTTCCCCAAGCATTAGCAGTTCCCCAAGCATTAGCTGTTCCCCAAGCATTAGCAGTTCCCCAAGCATTAGCAGTTCCCCAAGCATTAGCAGTTCCCCAAGCATTAGCAGCTCCTCAGGCAGTAGAAGTTTCCCCAGCATTAGCAGTTCCTTAAACATTAGCAGTTCCTTAAACATTAGCAGTTCCCCAAGCATTAGCAGTTCCCCAAGCATTAGCAGCTCCTCAGGCAGTAGAAGTTCCCCAAGCATTAGCTGTTCCCCAAGCATTAGCAGCTCCTCAGGCAGTAGAAGTTCCCCAAGCATTAGCAGTTCCCCAAGCATTAACAGCTCCTCAGGCAGTAGAAGTTCCCCAAGCATTAGCAGTTCCCCAAGCATTAGCAGCTCCTCAGGCAGTAGAAGTTCCCCAAGCATTAGCAGTTCCCCAAGCATTAGCAGCTCCTCAGGCATTAACAGTTCCGCAAGCATTAGCAGTTCCCCAAGCATTAGCAGTTCCCTAAGCATTAGCAGCTCCTCAGGCAGTAGAAGTTCCCCCAGCATTAGCTGTTCCCCAAGCATTAGCAGTTCCTCAGGCAGTAAAAGTTCCCCAAGCATTAGCAGTTCCTCAGGCAGTAGAAGTTCCCCAAGCATTAGCAACTCCTCAGGCAGTAGAAGTTCCCCAAGCATTAGCAGCTCCTCAGGCAGTAGAAGTTCCTCAAGCATTAGCAACTCCTCAGGCAGTAGAAGTTCCCCAAGCATTAGCAACTCCTCAGGCAGTAGAAGTTCCCCAAGCATTAGCAGCTCCTCAGGCAGTAGAAGTTCCCCAAGCATAAGTAGTTCCTCAAGCATTAGCAGCTCCTCAGGCATTAGCAGTTCCCCAAGCATTAACAGTTCTCCAAGCATTAGCAGTTCCCCAAGCATTAGCTGTTCCCGAAGCATTAGCAGTTCCTTAAGCATTAGCAGTTCCTCAAGCATTAGCAATTCCTTAGGCAGTAGGAGTTCCCCAAGCATTAGCAGTTCCTCAAGCATTAGCAGTTCCCCGAGCATTAACAGTTCCTCAAGCATTAGCAGTTCCTTAAGCATTAGCAGTTCCTCAAGCATTAGCAGCTCCACAGGCAGTAGAAGTTCTCGAAGCATTTGCAGTTCCCTAAGCATTAACAGCTCAGGCATTAGCAGTTCCTCAAGCATTAGCAGATCCGCAAGCATTAGCAGTTCCTCAAGCAGTAGAAGTTCCCCAAGCATTAGCAGCTCCTTAAACATTAGCAGTTCCTCAAGTATTAGCAGTTCCCCAAGCATTAGCAGCTCCTCAGGCAGTAAAAGTTCCCCAAGCATTAGTAGTTCCCCAAGCATTAGCAGTTCCCTAAGCATTAGCAGTTTCTTAAGCATTAGCAGTTCCCCAAGCATTAGCAGCTCCTCAGGCAGTAAAAGTTCCCCAAGCATTAGCAGTTCCCCAAGCATTAGCAGTTCCCCGAGCATTAGCAGTTTCTTAAGCATTAGCAGCTCCACAGGCAGTATAAGTTCCCCAAGCATTAGCAGTTCCTCAAGCATTAGCAGTCCCTCAAGCATTAGCAGCTCCTCAGGCATTAGCAGTTCCTTAAGCATTAGTAGTTCCTTAAGCATTAGCAGTTCCCCAAGCATTGGCAGCTCCTCAGGCAGTAGAAGTTCTCCAAGCATTAGCAGTTCCCCAAGCATTAGCAGCTCCTCAGGCAGTAGAAGTTCCCCAAGCATTAGCAATTCCTCAGGCATTAGCAGTTCCTCAAGCATTAGCAGCTTCTCAGGCAGTAGCGGTTCCTCAAGCATTAGCAGTTCATCAAGCATTAGCAGTTCATCAAGCATTAGCAGTTCCTCAAGCATTAGCAATTCCCCAAGCATTAGCAGTTCCCCAAGCATTAGCAGCTCCTCAGGCAGTAGCAGTTCCTCAAGCATTAGCAGTTCCTCAAGCATTAGCAGTTCCCCAAGCATTAGCAGCTCCTCAGGCAGTAGCAGTTCCTCAAGCATTAGCAGTTCATCAAGCATTAGCAGTTCCCCAAGCATTAGCAGTTCATCAAGCATTAGCAATTCCCCAAGCATTAGCAGTTCCCCAAGCATTAGCAGCTCCTCAGGCAGTAGCAGTTCCTCAAGCATTAGCAGTTCTTCAGGCATTAGCAGTTCTTCAGGCAGTAGTAGTTCCTCAAGGAGTAGCATTTCATCAAAGAGTAACAGTTCGGTAATTAGTAGAAGTACTTTAAGCAGCTGTAGTTTCTCAAGCAGTAGCAGTTTTTCAAGCATCAGTAGCTCCTTATGCATGATAGGCTCAAGGAGTAGCAGCTTTTCAGTCATGAGTAGCTCCTCAAGCAGAATTAGCGCCTTAAGTGGTAGCAGCTCCTCAAGCAGTACAAGTTCCCCAAGCAGAAGCAGCAGCCGCAGGAGCTCCTCAAGGAGTAGCAGTAAGATAACGATTCCTTTCGCTGAAGCACGCTGAAACACCTTGAAGGATTTTAGTCCATGCACGAAATAAATACATAATATTAAATTACTGCGGGCCTTGTTCAGTATATTAAACAGTTGAATACTTAAAAGAGAACACCTTCACTTGTACACAAAACCACAGTAGGCAATGTCAACACACTGTTTTCCATTAACGTAAGCGTAGATTTGTGGCAGATAGATAGATAAACTAATAGATAAAGTAAGGGGGGGGGGGCAAGGAGAGAGAGAGAGAGAGAGAGAGAGAGAGAGAGAGAGAGAGAGAGAGAGAGAGAGAGAGAGAGAGAGAGAGAGAGAGAGAGAGAGGAGAGAGGAGAGAGAGAGAGAGAGAGAGAGAGAGAGAGAGAGAGAGAGAGAGAGAGAGAGAGAGAGAGAGAGAGAGAGAGAAGAGAGAGAGAGAGAGAGAGAGAGAGAGAGAGAGAGAGAGAGAGAGAGAGAGAGAGAGAGAGAGAGAGAGAGAGAGAGAGAGAGAGAGAGAGAGCATGGTTTCCTGCGTAAAACTCTACGGCTTAACCATGCACAAAATAAGAAATATCCATGTACATTAAGCTCACAAAGGAATAGTTCTTTACTAAGCAATACCACTCGCACTTGCTCACTAGTAATTGTTACATTTTCACTGTTAAAATCCCTGTTCTAGCGATTGTTCTTATTGAAAGAGAAACATGCCAATTATTTTAGGTTCATCGAGTTCAAGTAGGAGCAGTTCTTCAAGTAGTAGTAGGTCTTCAAGCAGTAGCATTTCCTCCAGTAATAGCAGCTCCTCAAGTAGCTGTAGTTCTGCAAGCAGTGGTATTCCCTCAACCAGCAGCAGTTCTTCAAGTATCAGCAGTTACTCCATAAACAGTAGTAAGATCAAATCTACACCATTCATATACCCTGGAGCACACCTAAAGATTATCAGACCACCGAGGAACGCACAATTGCTCTATGCACTTAAAAAACAAACAAACAAACAAACACCTGAGCTTACCTGTGTCATATTCACCACATAAACTTATTCGTAAATCTTTTTAAATCGCACGTGACAATATCAGTGCTTTGTTTGTGACTGATATTCACGTACAGCACTTTCATAATTCATTCGATATGAACACGCTGCAACACCCTAATGGTCTTCAGTTGCAGCACCAATAAATGCACTTTACTGTTCAATTACCACATGGAATCGAGTGACTAAATAAGTGGATTACTATGTGCAACTGATTACAACAACAGACGCCACGACTATCACACGCAGTAAAGTTGGCACAGTGCTCGCGGAGAGAACCATCAAGAATCTGTAACATATTTTATACACTTTTTTCAGGATTTTCGAAATGTATCCCATATATATACATACGAACACACATGTATATACGTGGATAAGCAATTATTTGATTGGCAATCAGATTCCTGGAGGATCCTAAATCATCCGCTTTAATGCCATTTTTTCCCCAGCAATGTTTTACTGATTTATGTTGTACTTTATTTCCACTTTATTTCTTCTGTCTGTCTCCCCGCTACCTCTCCTTCTCTGTCTTCCCTCCCCTTTCTTTTTTTTCTCTCACTCTCTCGCTCGTTATCTGTCATCCAAACCCTTTATTTAACTTAATCTATTTATCTATTTAAAACGAAGCGAACTTTCAAAATCCAATTGTTTCCCTCTAAACACAATTTTTGTGCAAGCATACACAAGGTCACTTCCAAATTATAGCTTTATTTCTATATATATACATATACATATACATGTATATGTATATACGTATATATATATATATATATATATATATATATATATATATATATATATATATATATATAAACATATATATATATATATATATATATATATATATATATATATATATATATATATATATATATATATATATATATATATATATATATATATATATATATATATATATATATATATATATATATATATATATATATATATATATATATATATATATATATATATATATTCCCCACCAAACACACGCAAAGACCAACCTGAAAGAACCTTGACCCACATATTATCACACAGACGCACACATGCGTATTCATTAGATAGACTCATGTGTCCTTATGCAGTTCTGTTTTCCTTCCACAGGCAGCAGTAGCAGTTCGTCAAGCAGCAGCAGCTCAAGCAGTAAGTTAATGAAAGACAAATATTCAAACTACTGTAAAGTTGTTTCTTAAGAATGTAGCTTGTGACAAAGAAGGCATACTTGATTCCTTTAGAGTAATCATTTGCAACCAACCTAGTGCTAATAATGACATGCATGTATAAGTAACGTTGGACTAATTACCGCTGGATAGGGTCTTGAATTACATTACATATACATTTAATAACTAAAATGAAATATGAAAACGATTAAATGAATAAATAAGTATATACATATGTATATATATATATATATATATATATATATATATATATATATATATATATATATATATATATATAAGAACATATTTTACATTTACTCTCGAAGGTAAGTGATGCGAGGTCGAGACGGGTTAATGAACTTGACCTCTAGAATTAACAGCTATTATTATTAACATTTATGAAAAAACTTTCTTATTTTCCATTAATCATAACTGACAGAGAAAGGTAAGTAACTAGGTAGACGAGCAACGAACGAAGAAGAAGGAAAAAGATATTATGATAATTTTCCTTATTCATACTTCTGAGATACTGACCTTGGCTCATCTAATACCCTTCTGAAACACAAGGAAAACTATTTATCAATTTCTTGAATAAATAGTTGTTTCTGGTTGCAAAGTACGACCAGAATATACCTAAAGAAATCGAATAATGTGTGCAAAGTACAATTAATATTTGTTTTGTTTATTTTACAGAACATTGTACAGCTGGGCAGAAAATGGTGTTTAACAAACCATAATTTAAGGAATATGGAACTAGGAAACCAAAAATATGAACCTAGTCAGTGAAAACCTACTGTTTCAGATAAAGAAAAGGATGCAGATATAATTATATATCTTTTCCCCTTTTCACAACCTCATTTACTTTCCCTCACCCCTCGTCCCTTGTACAATAACCCCCTCTCCGTTTCCCCTCCCTTTCTCATAAGTTAACTATAAACCAGTAACTAAGGCCTGAAGTATAAATTCGCTGTCATACTGTAATCCGCATTACGTAATTCAAACAATATTAGATCTTGTTTTTATTAGAATTAATGAATGCAGTCTATATTTACGGTTCTTTGGATCTGTCTATGATACAACTCATGACTCATGAAGTATAATGTCCCATGTAATAGCATTTACTTAAGTACTAGTAGTTTCTTAAGTGGTAAATGCATTCCTCAAGCACACACACACACATACAAACACACATTCACATACAGAAACACACAAACGCACACACACAAACGCACATACAGTCACATACATACACATATTCTCAAACACACATACATACACACACCAAAATCAAAACCAATCTTGTACAATAGTTTCCTAAAATACTCTCAAAATTAGTGCTAGTAACTCCCCTCCTCTTCTCCTTCCCTCCCCCTCCCTCCTCCGAGCATACGTACCACAACGAATGTATAATAAAATAAATAAAAACAAGAGACAAGAAAACAAAGAAACAAACAAAATACGGGCATCATTGGGTTTCTTGTCACTTTTTTTCTGCCAGAATTTGAGGTTTACTAACAATCACATTCATAATTCTTTTGAAAATGTCTTGACTCTGACGCGGCTGTCCCGACTGCAATGGCCTTTCATTCAGCGAATCATATGCCCGTCATTTTAGGTTCCTCAAGTTCAAGCAGTAGCAGTAGTAGTTCCTCAAGCAGTAGCAGCTCATCAAGCAGCAGTAGTTCAAGCAGTAGCAGCTCCTCGAGCAGTAGCAGCTCCTCAAGCAGTAGCAGCTCCTCGAGCAGCAGTAGTTCCTCAAGCAGTAGCAGTTCCTCAAGCAGCAGCAGCTCCTCGAGCAGCAGTAGTTCCTCAAGCAGCAGCAGCTCGTCAAGCAGTAGCAGCTCGTCAAGCAGTAGTAGTTCCTCAAGCAGTAGCAGCTCGTCAAGCAGCAGCAGTTCGTCAAGCAGTAGCAGTTCCTCAAGCAGTAGCAGTTCCTCAAGCAGTAGCAGTTCCTCAAGCAGTAGCAGCTCCTCAAGCAGTAGCAGCTCCTCGAGCAGTAGCAGCTCCTCGAGCAGTAGCAGCTCTTCAAGCAGTAGCAGTTCCTCAAGCAGTAGCAGCTCCTCGAGCAGTAGCAGCTCTTCAAGCAGTAGCAGTTCCTCAAGCAGTAGCAGTTCCTCAAGCAGCAGCAGCTCCTCGAGCAGCAGTAGTTCCTCAAGCAGCAGCAGCTCGTCAAGCAGTAGCAGCTCCTCAAGCAGTAGCAGCTCCTCGAGCAGTAGCAGCTCCTCGAGCAGTAGCAGCTCCTCAAGCAGTAGCAGTTCCTCAAGCAGTAGCAGCTCCTCGAGCAGTAGCAGCTCTTCAAGCAGTAGCAGTTCCTCAAGCAGTAGCAGTTCCTCAAGCAGCAGCAGCTCCTCGAGCAGCAGTAGTTCCTCAAGCAGCAGCAGCTCGTCAAGCAGTAGCAGCTCGTCAAGCAGTAGTAGTTCCTCAAGCAGTAGCAGCTCGTCAAGCAGCAGCAGTTCGTCAAGCAGTAGCAGTTCCTCAAGCAGTAGCAGCTCCTCGAGCAGTAGCAGCTCCTCGAGTAGTAGCAGTTCCTCAAGCAGTAGCAGCTCCTCGAGCAGTAGCAGCTCCTCAAGCAGTAGCAGCTCCTCGAGCAGTAGCAGTTCCTCAAGCAGTAGCAGCTCCTCAAGTAGCAGCAGTTCCTCAAGCAGCAGCAGCTCCTCAAGCAGTAGCAGCTCCTCAAGCAGCAGTAGTTCCTTCAACAGTAGCAGCAGCTTTTCAAGTAAACCATGCAATATTATTGCACTTTCAAGCACCATTACGAATTTTAGAACTAATGAATTGAAGACGAGCACACAAATACGCACACGGATATATATATATATATATATATATATATATATATATATATATATATATATATATATATATATATATATATATATATGCAAATATATATATATATATATATATATATATATATATATATATATATATATATATATATATATATATATATATATATGCAAATATATATATATATATATATATATATATATATATATATATATATATATATATATATATATATATGTATATATGCATATATATATATATATATATATATATATATATATATATATATATATATATATATATATATATATATATATATAATATATATATATATATATATATATATATATATATATATATATATATATATATATATATATATATATATATGTATATTATATATATATATATATATATATATATATGCATATATACATATATATATATATATATATATATATATATATATATATATATATATATATATATATATATATATATACATGTACACATATACAGACACACATGTGTAAACATTCCTTCGGAGCACCTTCTTGGAACACCACTAATCTATAAACAGCACATTTTTTTTTTTTTTTTTTTTTTACAGATAAACCATTCACATTGCAGAAACAGCACTTCACGAAAAGTAAATCCAAAGCACTGCGACTGGGAGTGTAGTTTGTGCACTGTACAAGTTGATGAAGAAAGTTATGCTAAAAAAGATTGTTAATGGTACTAACTGCTACTTAATTTTCGAGTGTGAATCACCGAGCATTATGGAACACCACAACACATCACGTTCAAATTCTGCTCACCACAACGACCCTGAATATGGTTACGCAGATACACACGCTTTCACTATATTGAGCTTGTTTACTTTATGTACATATATATATCTTATTTTGACATGTGATTTAGAATGTCGTTAGTTCTTTTTATATACAAGTGCGAAGAAGCAAAAGAAGCCTCAAGATAATGAAGATTCTGAAGGAACGAAGACCTCTGTTCCCTACTGATTCTAATTCCACACCACTTATCGATTTATTATAGGTTCGTTGTCTTCCAGCAGTCCTGGCAACCTCAAGCAGTTTGGCAGCTTCCAACAGTCTGGCAACCTCAACGCAGTTTGGCAGCTTCCAACAGTCTGGCAACCGTTAAGCAGTTTGGCAGCTCCAGGCAGTCTGGCAACCTCAAGCAGTTTTGGCAGCTTCCAGCAGTCTGTCAAACCTCAAGCAGTGCAACAAGATTCCCAGCCAGGTCCTGGGCAATACCTCAAGCAGTTTGGCAGCTTCCCAGCAGTCTGGCAAACCTTCAAGCAGTCTGGCCACCTCAAGCAGTGCAAACAGCCTACTAGCAGTCCTGGCAGACCTCAAGCAGTGCAACAGCCCTACATCAGTCTGCTAACCTCAAGCAGTGCAACAGCTTCCAGCAGTCCCTGGGCAACCTCAAGCAGTGGCAACCGCCTCCAGCAGTCTGGCAACACTCAAGCAGTGCAGCAACCTTCCAGCAGTCCTGGACAACCTCAAGCCAGTGCCCCCCATTCTGGCAACCTCAAGCAGTTTGGCAGCTTCCAGCAGTCTGGCAACCTCAAGCAGTTGCAGCAACTTCCAGCAGTCTGGCAACCTCAAGCAGTTTGGCAAGCTTCCAGCAGTCTGGCAACCTCAAGCAGTTTGGCAAGCTTCCAGCAGTCTGGCAACCTCAAGCAGTTTGACAGCTTCCAGCAGTCTGGCAACCTCAAGCAGTTTGGCAAGCTTCCAGCAGTCTGGCAACCTCAAGCAGTTTGACAGCTTCCAGCAGTCTGGCAACCTCAAGCAGTTTGGCAAGCTTCCAGCAGTCTGGCAACCTCAGCAGTTTGGCAGCTTCCAGCAGTCTGGCAACCTCAAGCAGTTGCAGCACCTTCCAGCAGTCTGGCAACCTCAAGCAGTTTGGACAGCTTCCAGCAGTCTGGCAACCTCAAGCAGTTTGGCAGCTTCCAGCAGTCTGGCAACCTCAAGCAGTTTGACAGCTTCCAGCAGTCTGGCAACCTCAAGCAGTTTGGCAGCTTCCAGCAGTCTGGCAACTCCTTCCAGCAGTCTGGCAACCTCAAGCCAGTTTGCAGCTTCCAGCAGTCTGGCAACCTCAAGCAGTTTGCAGCACTTCCAGCAGTCTGGCAACCTCAAGCAGTTTGGCAGCTTCCAGCAGTCTGGC